GTGCTTTGTATAGAATTTCGTCCCATAATCCGTTTATACCTAGTACATATATTCGATGTCTACATAGAAGAGTTCCTTGAGCTGAGATACTATAATATATGGGTTTTCCACTTGCTAAACTTTGTCGAATCTTAGTAGCAAAATAATAGATCTTTTGACCTTCTTTAATCTTTTCCATGAGGGTGAATTGTATAGTAAGAGCGGTTAATCGTTTTCTATTTGTTTCTTTTCCATTATCACGATTATGGAAGGAGACACAAAGCTGATTAGGTATGAAGCTTCAATTCAGTACAGTCTTTAATCCACAAAGTGATGGACTAACAGAACAAACTATCCAAACTTTGGAGGACATGCTTCGTACTTTTGCTTTGGAGTTTCTGCACAGTTAGGATCATTATCTACCCTTAATTGAATTATCTTGTAATAACAATTATCACATGTCAATCCAAATGCCTCATTTTGAAGCGTTGTACGGTCGGAAATGTCGATCCCCTTGGAATGAGGTAGGTGAGAATAAACTTTCAAAAACCGAAATGGTTCAAGATATGGTGAAAGCAATTGAAAAGATTAAGAGACGATTAAAGGTAGCTCAAGATCGACAACGTAGCTACGCAGATAAAAGACGATGACCACTGGAGTTCGTAGTAGGAGATAATGTTTTTAATCAAAATATCTCCTATCAAGGGTTTACTAAGATTTGGAAAAAAAAAAGGAAAATTGACACAAAGATACATTAGATCTTTCGAAATCCTTGAGCGTATTGGTAAAGTCGCCTACCGATTGAAGCTACCTGAATAGATGAAAAATATACATGATGTATTTCACGTGTCAACTCTTCAAAAATATATTCCGGATCCTTTTCATAAGTTAACAAAGATGTGAGTTGATATTCATCCTGATTTAACCTAGGAGGAAGAACCTGTCAAAATATTAATGAGGGATACTAAGAATCTCCGTAAGAAGGAAATACCTATAGTTCGTGTATTGTGGCAAAGTAATGCCATCAAAGAAGAAACTTGAGAAAGAGAAGACGAAATGAAAGCTCAAACCCCGAACTCTTTGACTAAGGTCATTTCGAGGACATAGTTTTTTTTAAGGGGGGGGGGGGGGGGGGGG